GAGTGAGTAAGTGAGTGAGTGAGAGCATGTGAGTGAGTAAGTGACTGCTACTATATTTTAGGGGATGGTGAAAATCATCAAGTTGATCCCTCACAAGGCCCTAACTTCGAACTTTCATTCCTTCATACGATCAGCTCATCCGAAGACGAAGGCGTTTGTATCACACTGTGGTTATAACGGCATATCAGAGGCCATGTACCACGGGGTGCCGCTGATCGGCATGCCCCTGTTCGGGGACCAACACGACAACATCGCCCGGGTGGTGGCCCGCGGGATGGCGGTGACACTGGACATCCACTCCGTCACGTCAGAGGAGGTTTACCAGACCATCACTGACGTTATTTCTAATCCCAAGTAAGCATGATAATAATTGTTTTATTGCAAATTCATGCCCAAGGGTTAATTGCAGGAACAAAATAAGCATATGGTATAAAAAGCAGACAATTAGTACACATAGAACTACTGATAACTACTAAGAAACTAGTAGTAAAAACTACTGGGTTTTACTTATTTTTTGAAGACAGAGGAAGACAAAGGATCCCACTGATAATAGAAGGTTTTCAATCACAAATAACAGTATACAATATAACTTATAACAGTATAAATGAAGTGTAAATATTCTCTCTTTGTAATGCCGTACTACAAATCAGCCAAAAAGCTCCCATTGTATGGTGGTCTTGAGTCGTCACAATAAACCATTCACCAGTTTCCCATCCCCAGAATGCAATGCGAAAATAGGGGGGTAACCCTCATTTGCATAGGGCTGGAAGGCATCGGAATGATACTGGTGACGTTAAACAGCTTGTTTTTCACTGTGTTTTGAGGTGTTGGGGCATCTTATGCTCAACATTAATCAAATTACTATGGGTTGAATCTGAAAACAAATAGAGAATGATTTTTTGGAAAATGTGGTTTGTAACGTTATAGTTATAACGCTATACTGATGCTGTAACGTTACAAACCACATGTTCCATGTTGAAAAGAACACTAAAACTTCATTCTCTATTTGTTGTCAGATTCGGCCCATAGTAATTTAATTAATATTGAGCATAAAATGCCCCAACAACTCAAAACACAGTGAAAAGCAAGCTGTTTAACGTCAACAGGATCATTCCGATGCCTTCCTGTCCTATGCAAATGAGGGTTACCCCCTGTTTTCGCATTGCATTCTGGGGATGGAAACTGGTGAATTGATTGATTGATTGATTGATTGATTGATTGATTGATTGATTGATTGTCAAGCTGATGACAATTCTATCATTTTTTCAGGTACAAGGAGAAAGCCGAATATGTCTCCACCATCAGTCGTGACCAACCACAGTCGCCCATGGAGCGGGCAATATGGTGGATAGAACACGTGATCAAACATGGCGGCCTCCCTCATCTCAAGTCGAGGGCAATCGAACTGCCCTTCTACCAGTACTATCTGTTAGACGTCCTGGCTCTGATTGTGACAGTTATAGCCGTGATATTGTTGGTTGTTTGGAAGTGTTGTTTGTGTGCATGTGGGATCTGTAAGAGGGGTAGAAACCACATCAAACAGAAAACTATGTAGCAAGTTTAAACTGTAATTTCCAACACAAAAATTTGGAATCACCCAATCCAGTCTTTGTCAAGGAATGAGCAATCCATCGCTTCCGTGACGTCACGCAGATAACACACGTGACTCCGTGAGCAGTGGATCATAGGTTGCAGAAAGTCTGTGGCGCCCCTGTCTCTGTTGAGTGATGGTTGTAATGCCCTGATGTAGATGGCCTCTTTAATCCCTCGTGCAAAGAAATCAGGTTCTGAGTCCAGGATTCTTTATATAATACTTTGTCCAGTGAGACTGAATGACCAGGCGATTCTATGTGTATATGTTGTGAGACCTCCGAGGTAGTCGAGCTAGGTCGTTTGTGTTCTAAGAACCTAGTCTTGAGAGATATTTTAGTCTCTCCAATATGGGTTTCCTTACACAGGCCCTTGGAATTCCAATTTTAAGATAAAACAGAAAACTAATTAACGTCTCCGAGAGAATCTCCAGATTCTGTACTTTTGTTGTATCATCATTGTCCTCTCTGCTTTCATTTGAATTCAACGGCTGATTTGAACTGTAAATGTAAGATTCATAATTCATGTTGTATAAAAAACTAAAAGACAAGAAATATGGAGGGGTGGGTGGTTATTAGTGATTATCAGTTGTCATTAATTGAATTGAATTGAATTGAATTATGGAATAACATCCTAAAGGTTTAGAGCAAGTAAATTTTATGGATGACATCCGCAGACTCCAAATCTAATGCGAGCGGGCGAAAAAAATACAAGGCAGGCCGAAAAGACAAGGTTCCTATATTTAAAATTTTGACTCAATCATTGTACAAATGGTTTTGATTTAGAGGGAACATCACATATACACAGCCAACATCACACATCACTGCATCAAAGTAGGAAACAAAACATTAAATCAGAGCATGTTCTTGTCTCCTCTCTTTATAGTTATCCTCCATCCACCTTCCAGCATGGTAACATCTTTGTCCCATTTCCGGTATGTGGACCATTGTCAGAAGGCAACAAAATTTCTTGTTGTTTTTTTTCCTAAAATCAGGCGAAATTAATGCACGACGCCGATGTCATCCATAAAAATACTTGCTGTGGCCTCAGGTTGGTGGAGATATTGAGGGAAAACGAAACTAACACAGATATCGCCGTTACCATGGAACAATTTGTAGAAAATATACAACAGAAAGTACGTTGATGACTCCGGAACTTAGAAATAGAAAAATGTCTGAAAATATTTCATTCAATAAACATATCTGGGTAACGTTAACATAATGAAGCTAATGCTTTATGTGCCTTATGTTCTTATACGTATGCGAAAGTATCGAAGTAAAGCAGTATATAGTTGTTGACGTTAATAACGTTGTATGAATTGATGTTGATACCTTTGTGCCATGTAATAATTTGTCAACAGAATGAGTTTTTCATTAAAGCAAAGAATCTGCCATTATTGTAGTTTAGGTAAAGTAGAAGACGAGGTACATTTTATTGTGGATTGCTCCATGTATGACAGCGAAAGAAACGTTCTTTTCGATTTTGTGTCAAGCAAATACTCCCAATTTAAGTATTTGAATAGTATAGAGAAATTTATATTCCTTGTAGTCTTTAACAAACCAGCTCTAACTACTCATACTGCCAACTACATTTATAAGATTACCAGAAAGCGAGAGGAAGTTGAAAGTTACTTGTGTACTATAGCTGTTTTATTATCAACATTGATGATGTACTTTGTCAATATGTGACCTGTCTTTAGCCCAGTGGGGCAAAATGTACAATAAAGGTCTTCATTCATTCGTTCATTCATTAAAAACAAAAGCATAAATACAAACAAGATGGCGTCGAAATCAAGTTCCATGGAACTTATACTAATGGCGCCATCTACACAAAATGATTAAACAGAGATGTAGTGTTTACATAGACAAACAAATATAAAAAATCGAAACAAACTAATTGGGGTTTAGTAGATGGAATTCAACGAGCGCAAGTCCCACCCCCTATCCCTTAGAATTACTGATATCGATAGGACACGAGTAGAATGATTGAAGTCGAAAAGATTAATCAGATACAAAACGACCACTTTTGATGACGAAATTCTGAGTGAAGCTTATCATTTTACAATTAGTCTCAAAACTGCAAAAGGATGATCCGGAAAGTATAGGACTACCAAATTTTCAGGGACAACTTTGGTGTAATTTTTGACGTGTCATTTATGTGATTTCTGGGGCTAAACCGTTTTTTTTTGTATTTTTGTAAATATAAGCAAAAAATGTCTGATAGAATATTAAGACTAAGACCTAAGACATGTTACCCCTGGCAACAACACTGACGTCATAACGACGTCAAAAACGACGATTTTGACCGATGACGCCATCAAATTAGCATAAATTATAAATATTTGATGATAGAAACTACATATAATTTCTAAAGATGTCATTAATGTTAGAAATTAAGTATACTTTAAACAAAAAACAAAATTTTAAACCAAAATTACTGATTAAAAAATCTGCCAGTCAGAAACCCGTTGCCATGGCAACACGAAAATTCATTTACTTATCCCATTAAGGTGACATTGTTGCCAGATATGTTTAGGAAAAGTCACCAAATTTGATGGTTTTAGCATAATCCGTTCTTGTGCTTAAAACATCTACTGTTAGTTTGTGTAACATTACGCAGTGCTACAATCTGCGTAAAAAGTGGGCTTCATTGCGTGTTATCTGCTAAGTCGTGATGGTATTGAAAACTCAATACACCCGTTCTCAATACACATGCTTCAAACTAAAGTAATGACAATCCTACGAAAATTCTCTTTGTAATGTATAAGCGCTTTATATCGACGAACAATGAGTGTGAAGTACGTGTTTTCGCACATCTTGTGCCACCAAATCAGTGGTAATTGGCTACTCTACTCTACTCTATTGATAAATTATTATGTTTACCGAAGGAAAACATATTGTTTTTACTCAGTTTCTTCCTCCTCTTCTGTTCCAAACACTAACCTCTGACCTGGCTAATGACATGATTTGTTGACGTCTGTCACCATGGTGACTGGTGTTAAGTTACATAATGTTGCAATTTCATGGTCTGCTCTGCTCCTGTCACCATATGCTAGTAGTAGTACATGTGAATATGTTTGAGTAAAAATTAATAGGGCAAACTATGTCTGAAGGTAAACATTATGCATTTCACGGCGGTCTGTCACTACGGCATTCTTTCCCATTGCTATGCGCGTTCGAAAAGGTATCGGGTTACAAGACGCTATTTTGGCCTGTTTTGGACTACTCGTAAAATATTTGAAAAAAAAATAATATTTAGGGGTAAATTTCGTCAAATCAAAATGAAATTATCGTCTTAACATCCTTTAAATGTTAGCTTTTTATGTTAAATCAATGATTTTTTTAAAATTCGCTCAGAAAGACGATTAATTTTCGGGTTTCCGAG